TGTGCCCGGGGCTGACAGCCTCCCGAGCGGACTGCATTTCTGGGGAAAAGGCTCAATCCGGCTCTGCAGCCTCCGCAGGTCCAGACGCCCTGTCCCGCTCTCCTAGACCTTCTCCCGGGTGTGGGCCATGGGTCGGTGGAGGTTTCTGCTGGGGGCTGAGGGCCACTCCGTCTGTCCTTGTCTGGGAGCCAGGCCAGGGCCACAACCCGGAGTCCAGGAGATGGGGCCCCGAGTCCAGGCGGATGGGACCCCCAAGTCCAGGAGGTGGGGTCCCCGAGACCAGGCGGATGGGACCCCCAAGTCCAGGAGGTGGGGTCCCGAGTCCAGGCGGATGGGATCCCCAAGTCCAGGCGGATGGGATCCAGTGACATCACCTCCGAATGGAGCCGGTAGCAGGCTGGCAGCACTGGCGTCACCCCTGTCCACTGCCAGGCCATGTCTTGAACCCTGTGAGAGACTCTGACCCCTCCATACTTACAAGATTCCCAGAATGGGCCCCTGAGTGTGTGGGATGTTCATGAGGTGCTGCTGAAAGGGGAGCTTCTGACCAGGATTGGACCAGTGGGTCTTGTGAGAATCTTGGGAGGGGCTTGGGGGGGGGAGGCAAAGGGGAGAGGAGTGGTCTTCTCCTGGGTGTGGGGACACAAAGGGGCCTGTGTGCCCCAGCCTGGCACATGCCCTGCATTCCCACCCTCTGAGCTCACTCGGGGGAGGGGCCTGGAAGGAAAGGGGCCTTCTCTTGGCCTGGAGCCCAGTCGCCCCTCTGCCAGCCTCATCTGGGAGGTGCCTGGCGCTCTGGGTCTCTGCTCCAATGACCAGAGATGACCATCCAACGCCCTTGAACTGGGAGGGGGCTGGCCACAGGCGAAGGGAAGAGAGTGGTCGAGGCTTAGGAGAGGACTGGGCCGGAAGAACAGCTGCAGGAGCAGGGTGGGAGGAGGGATGGGGAGCAGCTGGAGCCGAAGCAGCTGCTGGGTGTCCTCTCGTCCCAGGTGTGCTTGGAGAGGCCGAGCCGCCGGAGCCCGAGCTGGTGGAGGTGGAGGTGGGCAGCACAGCCCTCCTGCAGTGCGGCCCCTCCCGTTCCCAGGACAACCTCAGCAACGTGGACTGGTTTTCCGTGAGTGCCAAGGCTCCAGAGGGCAGCAGCGGGGGGCTGTCCCCTCCTGTGGCCAGGACCCCACCTCCCCTGCGCCTCCCCCTTAGGTTCACAAGGAGAAGCCCACACTCATCTTCCGCGTGCGCCATGGCCTTGGTCAGAGTGAGCCCGGGGAGTACCAGCACCGGCTCAGCCTTCAGGATGCAGGGTCTACTCTGGCCCTGACCCACGTCACCCCTCACGATGAGCGTGTCTTCCTGTGCCAGGGCAAGCGCCCTCCGTCCCAGGAGCACCGCCTCCAGCTCCGCGTCTACAGTGAGTGCCTGGTGGGCGGTGCGGTCAGATGGAGTGGGCGGGGCGAGTGGGATGGAGGGGGCGGGGCTAGTAGGATGGAGTGGGCGGGGCGGCTGGAGTGGGCAGTGCCGGTCAGATGGAGGGGGCGGGGCTAGTAGGATGGAGTGGGCTTGCGGGTGGGAGGGAGCGCTGCTCCAGGCCCCTCCCTGTCTCTCTCCCGCCCAGAAGCTCCAGAGGAGCCGAGCATCCAGGCCAATGCCTTGGGCATTTCGGTGAACAGCAGGGAGCCTGAGGAGGTGAGGTGCCCAGGTGGCCAGGTGGGAGGAGGAGCGGAGGTGGGGTTTGGCGAAGCTAGGTCTCGGGGGGACTCGCCCTGTCCTTCTTAGGTTGCTACCTGTGTGGGGAGGAATGGGTACCCCGTCCCTCAAGTCATCTGGTACAAGGACGGCCGGCCTCTGAAGGAGCAGAAGAACCGTAAGTAGCCCTCTCAGCCTCTGAAAACCACCTTACATTTTACTTTTATTTTTTAAAAAGTGCACAATAATACTTGAAAATATTTTCATAAGATTTTAAACTTTTTTGTTGTTGTTAATCCTCACCTGAGGATATTTTTTCTTATTGATTTTTAGAGAGAGTGGGGGAGGGTGAGAGAGAGATCGATGTGAGAGAGACACATCAATTGGTTGCCTCCCGCATGCTCCCCCCTCCCCCCAAACCGGCTGGGAATCAAGCCTGCGACCGAGGTCGGAGGCACGTGCCTTTGACAGAGAATCTGACTGAGACTGAACCCTTCAGTCCGCGAGCCAGTGCTCTAACCATTGAGCCTGGCCAGGGCTGTTTTCATGCCCCGCCCCAGACTCGCCTGCCCTGGAATTCATCTCTGCTGAGCGTGTGTACTTCCCAGCCTATTTCTGTGTACTTCCTCACATGTATACAGACCTAGCAATATAGAGGCTTTTGTTTTTTATTGCCTACATCAGTGGCTCTCGGTCAGGGGCGATCTTTCCCCCTCCAGGGTATTTCAGTGTCTGGAGGTATTTGTGGTTGTCACGAATGGAGGCGCGCGCTTGGCATCTAGTGGGTAGAGGTCGGGGTGCTGCCAAACATCCCACCAGCACGGGACAGCCCCAGCGAGGGATGGTCAGGTCCTCCGCGTGGGGTGCCGAGTGGAGGGCCGCCCAGGGGCGCTGTGTCGCACACACCGCACAGCTGGGCTTTCCCTCGGACGGCAGCGCGGAAGCCCTTGGGTTCCGCCTGCAGCGCTCCCTGGTTGCTGCTTCTCCCTTTCGTCCCTGCAGCACTTGGCACACATGGTCTTGGGGAGGGAGTCTGGGGGTGGAGGGGTGCAGCTGGCATCCTTCGGGTACAGG